TCAATGGGGAGGCCAGATTCATTTGCCAATCATGTTACTAACGTAACAATTGAAGTGATTCACTTAACCGTAGCAAGAAAAGTTATAAAATGAGGCAAAATTCACTTAACAACTCTCTTAATAACAAGCTCAGTTGTGGTCGTAAGTTGAGGACTACTTGTATTGTATTGTATTATAGAACAGACCAAAATAGAGAAAGGTGCTACTAAAAACATCAAGGTCCTATGCCAGGAATGCTTTATAGATGAACCCCTGTACTTTGAATTACATTCAGAAGCTCCCTGGTAATTGAGACATTTGGCTACCTGAATGGTATACTTTATTAATTTAATTAATCATTTTTTTTCTGGATCCACAAAACACAGTGCATCATAAATTAAACAAATACTGTGGTTTAAATATAGTTAGCCTACTTGTGTTCAATATGTTGTGCAAACACCATCAACATATTAGTAGAACAGTGTACTTAGGAGAAGAGCATTGAAAAGTGCTTTCATGGCACACTGATACATTAGTAGCATGCTAGGCAATCATACTCTTACTTATTAAGAAATATGGGCTTGCTTGCAGTGGATGTCAAATTTTGAATGCCTTGAAGTTATGGACATTTATTTTATTCTGCTTTCTTGTCTGCTTTTCGTTTAGGCTGAGGTAGATTCAATTGATGCGCTAGAGAAATATCGTGGAAAATGTGAGCCAACATTTCTGTTTTATGGTGTAAGTGAATATGAAAAGGCCAATTTCATTACACAATATTTCCATCAGTATTATTTTTTCTAATAAACTTTGCCAGATTTGGACAGTATGTATGTTTCCAAAAATATCTATGTAGCATGCTAGTTTCATTATTCTCGTGAACTTGTATGTGGAGATGCATGGTATGACTAAAAAACATTTACTGTATCGTATCATATCATATCATATCATATCATATTATATTGTCAAGGGTTCCAAATAGCATCCACAAGTAAACCAGAGTCTGAGGCAAAGGATTCCTCAAAATTCCAATTTATTAAGAGAGGCATGTTGGCACATCTGGGAAAACCCGAATCTGAAAGCTTCCAGGTTTTCTCACCCAGTTGAAAGTTCAAGATCCTCCCCCACCACACACACACGCAAGTCCATCACATGGTCCAATCGTCCTCTGCCATGCTGGCAGTTTCCACCCATCCAGTTCCAGCCAGGTGCAGAAACAAGGATGACCTTGGCCCGGGATGGCGAACTATGGCACGCATGCCACAAGTGGCATGCGGGGGCCATTTATCAGAGCACGCGAGGCGTTGTCCTGTCAGCTGGTCAGCTGACTTCAGCCTTTTTTTGAGGCCATTTTTCACCCTCCCCAGACTCCAGAAGCTTTATAGGAGCCTGGAGAGAGTGAAAACAGCCTCCCCTGCCCCCCTGGAGCTTCCCTGAAGCCTCCGAAGCGCAAAAACCAAGCCCTACGGGCAAACCGGAAGTTTGGAAACAGACTTCTAGTTTGCTCGTAGGGCCAGTTTTAGCCCTCTACAGCCTTCAGGGGCCTTCTGGAGGCTTCTCTGAAGCCTCTGGAGGGCAAAAAATGATGTCCCAATTTGTCCGTATGGCCGTATAGCTCCAGAGGGCTAAAGCCAGTCCTACGAGCAAACCGGAAGTCCATTCCCAAACCGGAAGTCTGGTTTGCCCATAGGGTCATTTTTTTGTGCTCCGGAGGTTTCAGGGAAGCTCCTAAAGCCTCCGGAGGGCCTCGGAGGGCGTGGAGGCTGTTTTTGCCCTCCCCAGGTTCCTATAAAGCCTCTTGAACCTGGGGATGGCGAAGAAAATATGCAAAAAATTTGGGGGAGAGCTGGTCATGTGTGCAATGGTCGCGCATTGCATTATGGGAGTGGCATGCGCAGGCGCAACCCCCCTGTGCTCCCCCCACTTTTGCCACGCGAGCCAAAAAAGGTTCGCCATCACTGACCTTGGCTTTCTAGAAAGAATGTTATTATAGCTACATATCACCCAACTCCGTATAATCACCCCTCCCATTTTCCCACAATAGAAAATGGATAGTAGAAAGTATGGCAAGCCTGAAGTCCAAAAGAAAAGATGGCTTGCAGACCTGACATATATCATATCATTATATTTAGTATAGTATAGTATAGTATAGTATAGTATAGTATAGTATAGTATAGTATAGTATAGTATAGTATAGTATAGTATAGTATAGTATAGTATAGTATAGNCTCTTGCCTTTTTCCTTTTACATTTTTTTTCTTTTCATGATGACAGTGGTGAGGCTCTGCCTCCCCTGCCTCCATGTCCCTGCTTCAATCATACACAATTGATTTGGATATTATCAAGATAGAATCTACCTCACCAACGTCTAGAAAGAAAGCTCCAACTGAAAGCCCCCACTTCTTAGGAATTCTGGTAGGATGAAGCACAAACATTCTCATCCTCCTGTAGAACAAGTTGCCCAAAGCAAACATAGCCCCTTGATTATGCTCTTCTGACTTTTTCAGGGATAAAGAGGGCTTATTATTGTTGCCTGGGTAAAAAAGCAACATTTTAATTTTTAATTTTTTTATTTATTTCATCAAGCATGTATTAGATAACATAGATAAGTATAAACATGATTTTGGATACATGAAATGGATACGAATAAAAAGAAACATTAGGACACATTGGTGCGCTTATGCACAACCCTTACAGACCTCTTAGGAATGGGGTGAGGTCGACAGTAGAGAGGCATGCTGTGAGGTTTGTAGCGATATTCTGATATTGGTATTATTATACTATTTTATAGTTATAGTTTATTGTATAGTTTATTGTATTTTGACTTATAAACTGCCTAGATTTGATCAGATTGAAAGGGATAAATGTCATAAGAAATACATAAGAAAATAAATACATCAAACTGTAAATGTGGCAGGCCTATTGCTCATCAGACTTGGTATAATGGCTATTGCTACACCACTTAAATGAAAAGACTGCCAGGTCAAAGCATATCTAAAAAAGAGAAAATCCCTTTGATAGAGGAAGACATAATTCTAAGCAAGCATTCACAGCATTAGACTGTACATGTTGCTGTTGGGTGTTTTGTACCAATGATTACATTTAACAAACTTCTGAAGTCCATATTTGTTGCTTCCAGAGAATACTGAATATCCCTTTCAGCTTGGAAACAAGAATAACTAAAACTGAGGTTAGGACATGAAGAATGATGCTAAACTCCATCTAGCTAGAGCTCCAGTTCTTTCCTCCCAGATTTACTTCTTCTAATAATGGCTGATGGTTTTTCAGCAAGTTATAATAATGTCATAGAATAAAAGTTAGTGAAATGTGAGCTTCCAAAGGGTTCACACAATTATTTGATAGCATCATGCTAAACATAGATTTCTGCAAAAATTAAGTGATTATTAGGTCTCCAGATGGAAGTGAACACTTAACCCAGGAAAGCAGGATCAGTCAATGAATGATAAGTCGAGAACTACCTGTAAAGATGTATGCATGTTTATATGTGGTTACATTTATTAGTAGTGAATATTAATAATATTTTAGATTGGAAAATAGTATTACATAATGTAATGCCTGTTATTTGTTTGGTTGTTTCACAGCATAATGGCCAGCAGAAAAAGGGAATTAGCCTTGCAGGTTAGTATGAGATATTAGTCACCCAGTGCGATTGTTCTGTACTTTCTGCTTGTATGGAGAGGACAAAATTGCTCCAGTACTTCTATATTTTGCCAGTGAAACCTATATATAAAACAGTAGTTGTAAAACAGAAAGCTATAGATTTCTAAATCACCAGTCTCCCAAACATGAAGTTTTTGTTTTTAATCTAATTTGATGATTCAGAAAAGATGAAATAATGAACGTTAATCATGCAGTGCAGAAATTGCTGACAAGCTTCTATTTAATTTTCAGATCAAAATTAGATATTATTCTAAACAGGGTATTGTAGTTTAACCAATGTTCTCATTTCAATGCAGGCATAATCTCTTGCTCAGTTTAATCTTCATGAAAAAGAAAATGTCCTTTCAACTCCTCTGTCATTGAGGGGGATAGTTCTAGACTCTTATTTAATAAGAGAGTTTTGTCTGCTATATGCAGCTTGTTAAGCCATGGCTTACTTAGCCATGATGATGCACTGAATAAACCATACTGGCCTGGGTTCACACAACTTGCTAAATCAAATCCAAACAAGTCATATTGTGTTTTAGCACATATGGGTGAACCTGGACCACGTGTCAATCATTCTGGATCAGTCCAATATACATGCATTCTGGCATTCATCTAAGCTATTCATGAAAATAATGTCAGCCAAAATATTGCAGCTACTTTTGAAGAAAATCCTGCTGGTTTGTTTTAGTTACTGCAAATCCTTTAAGTAAGATGACCTTAGTATGGGTCTGATTATGCCTCATTCTTCCTTCCCACAAATATTGTGAATTTTTCCAAGCCCAGTCCTCAAAATCCTCTCCAAAGAGAAATCAGATGCATTTGCTTTGCCACCTGCTAATATCTTATGTTATCAAGTCCAAACCTGAACAAATCTTTCAGAACTAGTAGTGTGATGGTGCCCACAGTGGCTTTTAGAGAATGTTGTGAAATAATGCAAAAACGGTTTGTAACTCTAAATGTTGTTTCCACATGTACCACAATATATTTGAAATATGCTGGTGGCATTTAGTACATTTGTATCCGGAGTGATGTATACATTAAGGTTGACCATAATGCATCAAACAAAAGATGCATTACAATGGGTCGAGGCCCTCTGCTTGCATCAGTCAGCAGCTCCTTTCCCAGGGCTGCTCAACTGCTTAAAAACTTATTTTAAACAGCATCTTGAAATTGTGACACGAAATCTTGAAAGTTAAAAGTTGATTGGGGCATAAACCTCCATAACTACAGTCCTCTTATTCTGATAAATTATGGTCAATACAAGCTATGATACAATGTACTGTTTTTTTAAGGTGCACATGTCTCTTTGTTGGGTTTGCTTCAACAGAGTAATAGGGCTACTCTTCTGGAAATATTTAAGTATGGCGTTATAGGAATATATTTGTGATTTCTTTATTTATATAAATAATTCCATAAGGGATATAATCTCTATAAATCCTGCCATCATGTGGCCAGAGGAAGAAATTGATTATTGTTCAACTCTGCCAACTATTCCTATCCAAGAAGGCCTGTTGGCTTCATTGGAATTTTTCCAGGTGACTCTGAGCCAACTACTTAGAAAGTGACCTCAAAGTGATCTAGCATATACAGAATGCAATATTCAGATTGTTAAAGCTTTGAGATTTGATGTTCTGAGACTGAACTGTTTATTCAGAACAAAATTAATTGAACAAAAAAGTTCGTTCCTAGTGAGAAATATAGTAATGTCTATGCCCACATCATCCAATAATAAAACTATACAAATAGTCTTTGTCTTTGATGCTTCACAGATTATTTTGTCACACTATACCCAGATTGCTCAAATCGTAGTTGTTTTTATTGTGTTTAGTCCATGGGTCAGTTTGTAAGTAATATGTTTCCATAATGTGCTTAACCCACATTTCCTTAGTAATGATTGGCTGCATAAAGCAATAGTAACTTGCTCAAAATTCTCCATTTTATTGGAACATAGAAGCACCGGTCATTTTCTACTTTTTATGTGCCTTTTGTTCTATCACATAATTCCTGCTGACAGACTCGTCAGGCAGTTTAGGTAGGCAGCAGGGGGAGTTGGTTAGCTGTTGGATGGAAAGCAGAACTTTTGGGAAAAGGAAGGGTATTCTATACTTTCAGTCACTCTGTCCTGTTTTTCTTGGACTTGGAGGATAAGTTATTGAAAACTGGCTGAACTGTTTTGATGTTTTCATGATATGCTTAGCTTAATCTTGTCAATGACAAAGAAAAAGTAGAGAAAAAATAAAAATCTTTTGGAATAGGATTACATTTCCAAGACAATGAGAATTCTGTGCTACTCTGTCATGCATCTTGTGTTTCTGATAGCAATATAAGTTAATGCATAATTTGGTTTTGATAATTTCATGTATGATATAAATTTCAGTATCATATAATTTCATCAGCATGTTTTGATTTTGAGTTTTTTTCTATTATTTGAGTTTACTAAGCATATTCTTAGTAATATTTATACTTCAGAGATAGATACTATTTTATCAATTTAATGTTCATTGAAAAACAAGCATTTACTAAAAGTTCCAGAGCCAGAGTCATGCATCTGATTGTGCAATATAAATTTTGTAACACAATGAATGTTTTTTTTATTATTTATGATGATGTCATTACATTCCATGTGATATTTCTGAAATGTTTTATTCTTTTACAGATTCAAGTACATATTTTGTATTTTAATTGTTATATTACTGCCTTAATGCAACATAAGTACTTGTCCTATAAATATCATTTTATAAAGTCAAATGTAATATTTGCTAGTTTAGATTTGGATTGATTTAGCACTAATCTTTTGTTTTTACAATAGAGACATGGCTATTGCTAATCTTTCATCAGCCTATCAACAACCTAACAATAGGCTTCAAGGCTTATTCACTTTCCAATAACACTCCTGCACTCAGCAAGAAAAAAGTTCACAAATACTCTTGCTTTGTATCCCAACATTTCCAATGATTTTTTATTCATTACCAGTTTGGATTTTTGTTCAAAGAATTTTTTTAACCCAATGTTACTAAATTATGACTTCATCTTCTACAAGTAGTTTTTAGTAACACAAACATGTATTTTTTTCATGTATTAGTCTATCAAATTTCTTCAGGAAGTTATGCTTTAAAAAGCTATTTTGCTTATTGCCATATTTCTCAATAATATGGTTTAATTTTTGCACAGATGGTTGTCAATAATCAAGAACATTGGGAAGAATTTCTGGGGTCCAAAGGATTGATTGGTAAGTTTTTTAATCACAGTTATTTTACGAGGTTCATTTTCTCTTTTGTTGTTCAATAATATTAATGTTCAGATCATTATAGTAGTATGAACCATACCTCTGCTAAGTCATGCTATACGATAATATCTCTGAATGAACATGTTAACAAATGAAAATTTTCCTTGGCAACAGCAATCTATAGTTAAGCCTGAATGACAACTTTCCAATTCTGTTAGTATTGCGGGGACACACATTTGTAGGCAGGAACAAAAAAAAACCCCTTCTTTCAGTTGATACAGAATTTATTGGTATTTTATGTGGTATCTTGCAAAGATTAAAAGTAACTTCCCATCTAAAACTTGTAACAAATAGAAAAGGCTAAGCATTTATTAGTTCTGTCAGACTATTATAATAATTAACTCTTCATTTCTAGATATGTGATTGATTTCTGGAATTATTCTGACATGCCACAGTTCTACTGACACAGGTTAATTTCTTTGCAGTAGTAGATGCTTATCAAGGCTGGTGTGGACCATGTAAAACAGTTGTTAACCTCTTTAAGAAAATAAGAAATGAAGTTGGCGGTGACCTGCTGCATTTTGCTGTGGTAAGAAAAATCTTCAGATCTATTTAAACAGTTAGCAAAGCCCAATTCTCAGAACGGATCAAAAAAGTTAAGATAGTAAGTGTAACTGACCACGTGAGTAAATCTCCATCCCCTTTTTAATATGGGCCACATGTATGTGAAAAGAGCCAGAGGCTCAATTATGCAATCATACACCCACCATCTTGATTTCTTAATCTCCTGAACAGAGGTTCTGTTTCAATCTATAACAGACATGTAAATATAATATGCAATATGCTGTCATTTTCTTCTTTAAATAGATAAAATAACGGAAGGGGATCTTGTAGAAAAGAAGCTAGATTTAAATAAACAATTAATGCTCTCACATACGAATTCTGCTCGTTTTGAAATCAAGTAATTCAATCTTTGAACTGAGTGGGAGGGAAGCTTACTTGGGGCTGCAAAGCAGCCGGAGAATTCCAGCATGGAGCAGTTCTGCCTTCAGCTGGCCCCCCTTCTCTTCACAGACAGAGAAGCTGCAAAGATCAGAAAGGCATTTGCTTGACAAAACTCCTCTCCTTTCCCTTCTTTTCTTGAAGAGGAAGGTGTCTGTCAGATGTCTGATAGATGATCATCTTAACAGATAAAGCAACTGGT